TAAAAATTGTTCTGCCACCCTTATGGCAACAGTGGCTTGCAAAACTAATTCACGTGAGTGCAATGCTGAATGATCAAGGATCGTTTTTGAAAATGTGGTCCCTTAGTGGCGGCAGTCTGTACCTTGGCGTTTTTACATTTCCTTCCTTTGAATGAACTGGTTTCTGGAGACGACGCTAATTATATTTTACGCTTCACGACTTTTCAGATGAAATTTCCCTTGGGTCACGAGGACGCTATAAAGACCAGACCCCATCAGTCACTCACAGCCCAGAAATAATGGACCCGTCGGAACTGCAGCCTTTTTTGAAACCAGAAGCGGCGCTGACAGAGGCCTTGGTGCTTTTGGCTCATGATGACTGGTAGGTGTAAACATGGCTCTGCAACTCGAATGTAAGGCAGAAGGCACTTATTTTGTTAACTTATTTTAGAGAAGAACCCCAGCAAAATGGATTTAATGTCAAAAATAGTGAGAAGGGTTGTGATGTAAGAGAAAAAAGAAGGTTTATTTCAGTCCAAACATAGGTTAAACTGTAGCTGTTGTAAATTGAGACTTGATAGCTAAGGTGTCGGAGAGTTGGAGAGATGTCGAAGATGAAGCTCTGTTCTAGAGAGAGTGACAATTCCTTCTTGTCACTGCGGACCACGAGGCTTCGCTGTGCTGCCGTGACACGGGGTTACAGTGCTGCTGTCTTTTCCCCTTGGGGGAGGAAAGTAGCCCTTTAGGTGTCCCTGGTGGGAGCTGGGAAGAGGACTTCTGGGAAGGATTGCCAGACTGGCATGCTAAAATAGCATTAAAAGGAAGACTCACTTGGAAAGAATTTCCTACATTAAGTGCCATTTCTTTATTCTACAATGTCACTTGTGAGCTCTTTGATTTCTTAGAATTCTGTATTTTGATACTTTAATGAAAACATGCAAATATTTTGAATGTAAACGTTTATTGTTTGTTGTTTTGGTTTTTTTTACACAGGGAGAAGAAAATTGAAGGTCTGATCTTTGTTAGGCGTTTGTCTGCTTACCATGCAACCATTCTGAAGGCAAAGCTACATGAAACAAGTTTGGCGGTGGCCCAAGAGGTTAAATTTTACTATCAGAATATTTCTCTGTGTGTGTGTGTGCATTTTGTAGCTCTCAGATACACTGAAGTGAAATGGTATGTTCACGTGTGCTTAATTTTCTTCCATTGGACAGTCTCAGAAGGATGAGTTTGTCGTTCAGCAAAGCAGCTCATACTTGAGATACAAACATTTGATTTGCTGAGACTGAAAAAATTTAGATTGTAACTTTATAATGTTTTTCCCGTATCTGTTTTTTAGTTCTCGCACTTCATGAATGAAGTTAGAAATGTATTTCTCAGTTGTTCTTAATGTTGCTTAACAATGACAAAGGCAAAGATAAAGCTGTGTTTATTTTAAAGTATATTTTATAAACATTATTCATTGTTTGTTTGGGTTTTTCCTGTGTGCAGGTCAAGAATTTACGCTCAGGTGTTTCTCGAGCTGCTGTGGTCTGTTTAGGGGATTTGTTCACCTACCTGAAAAAGAGCATGGATCAAGAACTAGATAATACAGTAAAAGTGCTTTTGCACAAAGCTGGTGAATCGAACACTTTCATAAGGGAAGAGGTAGACAAAGCACTGAAGGCTATGGTCAATAACGTGACTCCAGCACGTGCACTTTGTTCTCTTATAAATGGAGGGCAAAGGTAATTCCTATAAAGACTTTCTAAAGAAATAACTTGTGAATAGATTAAATTTTATCAATTTTTTTTTTCAAATAAGCAAAATACAGTAGGCAGAAATTTGAAAAACATAGTGAGTCAGCTCTGCAGAACTTCTACCCAGGGCAATGTTTGTTGACATTAAAGTAAAATGCAGCTCCCCTGTTTCTTTCTGTACGTTACATAAAAAATTGGCTGTTGATTTTGGAGCTTGGTATCTTTTATGGTCATTTTGCAACAACACTTCAGTAATTTTGTTCGCTGTTAGTATATTCTTAGGAAACTGCTCTTTTGCTTTGCCTAGTAAAGCTCACACAGCGTTCTCGTTTTTCGTGTGCTCTGCAATCAAATCTCTTTCAGTTTTCGGCACTGCTTCTTATTTAGAAAGATGATTTGTAACTTACAGCTCCCTAGCTGCAACTCTCTTGCTTGATCTCCTGTTCTTCCCTAGGCTGAGCTGGTTAATAGGCTTTCTGGCTGCATTTTCATTCCCTTTTCAAGGTCTTGAGTACCTCAGACATGCCAAGGCTCTTTTGCTGGTTGCATGGTTGAATTCTGACCTCCAGCTCTCCTCTGTCTCTAGCAGAAATGACATTCCTTTCACTTTCCCCATTAAGTCTGTTGTTGTTTTTCTTTTACATCCTCATTCACTGTAACACCAATGCTCAAGCGTTGGTTACGCTATGTTAGATACATGCACCTACCTCTGCTTAGCCTCGGACCTGTCTGTCATCTCCTGGATGACATTCAGTAGGCTACATTTCTCATCACCTGTCCCTTCCGTTAAATATTTCAGGTGCTACATTATAAATCAGTCTGTAGACTTTCTGCATGTCTACAAATCCTGAGAGTTAGTCTTGATTCAAAATGTGCTGATTCCTGGTTTGTTTCCTGAGAGGCTGGTTCTTGTGGAATATCCTGAAAGCCAGTGAGAGCCACACTGCAACGACCTGAGCTTTAAACTGAAAGGCAGATATCAGCCTTGCAAGTTAAATTACTTGTGAGTCATGCCCTCGCGTAGTTGTTTTTGCAAATTTAAGAGCAGCCGGCAGTAACCGCACGTTGCATTAATTCATGAGCCATGGGAAGTGTTTATGGAGTTTCCTCAGAACTCCTTGGCCACGCAATACTCACGATCATAACTGGCTGCACCTGATATCCCCACGCCAACCTATCCTTTCGAGCCTTCTAGCCCTGCAAAGATTTGACCTCTCTGATTTGTGAACTCGGATGCATTTTCAGATATCTGAGATGCCACAATCAGCTGAGCTGTGAGGCCCAATACAGCGTTTGAAGCAGGGATTGATTTCTTACAGCTAAGAAGACTTCAGTCAAAGCAGTCTCTAAATCACGGGGCATGGGATGTTTTTAGTGCGTCACACATTGCAGGTGGCCTAAGTACCACTGCGAGTTAGAGCTCTTCTAGTATTGGCTTCAGCACCCTGGCCATGTTAGCCATGTTAGCCTCGTCTCTAGAGGCTGCGACAGGGAACTCGAGAATCCTCTTTCAAAGTGGAGGTTTGGGAGCAAAACGACAGATGCCTTGAGTACAGAGTTAGAAAGGTTCAGTCTGATACAGCCGTGTAATTACACAAAGGATCTCTCTTCTAAATTTGGCTTATATTTTGAGTTGCTGACATGGACCATGACTTACGTACTTGACTTAGCAGTCATGGCTTTGCCTACAATTCAGAAGACCTTTTAAAATTTACCTTTTTTCTGCTCAACACATTTCAAGCCTGCTGTGATCATAAGTATTAATTCTTGCAACCCTGAGTAGATCGTTCGATCTATCTATCTATCTAGTCTATCTATCTATTTATGATATATATGTGATATATATATGAGTAGATATATGTAGAGATATAGGTATAGACATATATGTATCTACTGGTTCTTTGTCAGCTAGAAAGTTGGTTTTGACTTTACCAACACAAGTAATTGAAAACATTTTTGTCTGCATTTGTGAGGTGCTGTTTTAAAGATGCTGAACTGTTTCTGTCAACTCACCGCTGTGAATAGATGTTTCCAAGGCTAGATGTCAAAGTGATTGCATTTCAGAAATTTTAATCCTTGATTGCGTTTCAGAAATTAGGAATTGCTGGTTTTATTCTAAAAGTCTTACGTACACGCAAGAAGGTTCCCAACTGTTCTGCGTATGCGCGGAACCAGAGCAAGCTGAAATCTCAGGGAAAGGGGAGCGTGCCCAGCGGGCAGTGGTGTCAGGCTGCACAGCTGGGGAGCTGCTGCCGAGTCTGTTCCTTTACTTTGTGCCCTCCTTTAAACCTGCTTTTCCCTATCAACAATGAGCCAGGCAAATTTCTCGTTTACTGTGCAGCAAAACAGTCCTCAAAGTAGGAGTTTAATCCAAAAATTAAAAATAAAAAAAAAGTTTGAATTTGCAGAGTCGTGTACTCTGAAAACATCTGGGCTCAGCAGGTACAGGAGGGTTTGTATCAAAGGTTAGTTTGCTGCATGAGTTTGAAAACTGATTCTAGCTTTTCTCTATTTTTCATCAGCATAGGTGTTTAATGGCCCCCATTTTGGAGCAAATAGATTTTGCAAGGTATTTAGGGGTCGATAGAATACAGTTTTATTTACTTTTAAGTTGATATAGAATACACAGGATGTGTTTCCGAGAATAGGAACTTGTTTTGAAAAAAGTTGACGCAAAGAACATGTAATAATGTGCTTTCTGAAATACGTTTAAATTATTTTAAGGAACACCAGAAATTAAATTCTGAAAAGAAGAAAATTACTAGTTTTATTAATAAAAAAGGTCCAGCTAGAGGCTGACACTGACTTTAAACAAAAAGAATACAATTCTTCCTTTTCCATTTGCATTCTTGTAGTTAGGGGTTTTAAGCGAATGCAATGAAATCTAACCAAATGGATTATCCTTTTAAATAAAGTTACTTGTCTTTGCTCTGCAAGGTCTTCCCTGTGCAGCCACAATAAGTATCTGCACGTCAGCCGTAAACTAGTTGCGGATTATGCCAACGATGAATAAAAGAAAACTTGCATGTAGCAGAGCACATACATAACTGCTCTTGAGCTTCTGTGGTGAGTCTTTGCTGAGCAGCCGTGTTTTCTGCAGCCACCTGCACTCGGCGGTGAGGAGATGCACAGCCCAGCACCTCTCGGACCTTGTAGACCGCATGGGACCGGAGCGCGTTCTGTGCAGAACCAAAGTGGCGGCCGATCGGCTCTTCCCTGCGATCGCCAGGTTTGCACAGGACAGCTCACAACAGACGAGGTCAGTAAGGTTAATCTCCAAGATAAATACCCTCTGGGTGGCCGAGACCTCTGCGGGGCTTGGTGCCAGTTCCTCTGCAGTGGCAGAGGGTACAATCCTAGAATCGATACTGGCCACGGAGGGAATGTTGGCGCTGGGAGCCCCGCTGCCTGGCGGGCCAGGCTGGACCATCATAGTTAAAGGCGGCTGAGAGTAATTTGCCCGGTTGTTGATCAGTGATTCTTGAGCGTAGTCTCTTTGTGGGAGGATGAAAAGGGAGTCTGGTTACACACGCCGATAGCAATCCTCCTGCGTGTCTATATTTTGGAATGACACACCTATAATTATCAAGGGAGTTCCAAAGTGAATCTGTGTTTACAGATGTGTATGTCACGGTCTGCTGCCCCGCAGGTATTACGGTCGGAAGATGCTTTTCACTATGATGACTCATCCCGATTTTGATAAAATGCTTGAAAAGTACGTGCCAGCCAAGGATTTGCCTTACGTTAAGGAGTCTGTTAGCAATCTGCACGAAAAGGTATGTGGAAAAGCTCTTGTTTAAGAGCTGAGAACCGTAAAACGTGTACTAATGGCCATTGGGTGTAGACAGTGACCCAAAAGAGAGGGGGGAGTGTGTGTTCAGAGCAAAACGAGCAACAGAGTGACTCCAGCACGGCAGGACGCTGCTCGCCAGCTCCCTCTGCGTGCCTTTGCTCTGAGCAGACCTGTGCCTCGCTGCCAGAGTTCCCGCAGCTCTCAGGCTCGCTTTGGCGGGCTCTCAAGCAGCGCGGAGCTGCACTGGCCACGATAACTAATGGTTCCGCCTCTGTGCAGGGTTTGGGGGAAACACCAGTAGACACGCCCTCAGCAAGAGGAAGACGTCCCCATACTTGCAACGTAGGACATTCGAGGTCGTCATCTACTTCCAGAGGTGCTCTCAATGTCGCTGACAGGTAATGAACTTCAGTGTTTTACCCTGTAAATGAGTAACCTGACCTCTAGGATATAGCCACAAGAAGAGAGTATCGGAACATTCACAACAGGGTTGTGAAAATTAAATGTACCTGAAGGAACAGGGGAAAAACTTGACATGTCCCAGTTCTTTTAAATAGAGTAATTGGTAATACTAAAACAGCTGTGTGCATTTTGAAGATAATCTGTTGGCTACCTATGAAAATCCCCAGCATCCCAAACTGCTTGGAATTCACAGTAGATCCGTGTCGCCATCAGTTCGAGATACTGCTGTTCACACACTGTAGAAAAACTCTGCCTGGTGGTAGCCGCAGTATGAAATATCTGCCTCTGGGTGGAAGGAAGCGTGTCCATTCCAGAATGATTTTCTTAAACACACTCTCTGCTATTCAAAATAGTAGCTAATTCCGCATTTGATGGTAAATTTTGCTTTGGCACATAAAACTACACATGTACTTCCTTAGAAGAGGTGCTGCTTGCTGCATTACGCCAACGATTTGGGTACTTGCAGTGCTCTGTAGTACAGGAGCAGGACAGGAGGTTTTGATGCCGACTTTTGTTCTCACAGATCTGATAAGTTTGAATTTGAGAATGAAGGAAAGATGCTTATTGCATTCTCCATCAAAGACTTCATGAGTTGGGAATGAGCTGGTGGCTCTGTCTGGACTGGTCTGTCCTTATTTGGACAGACAAGTGATTCTACAAATTTTATTTCCTTTATAAAAGCCTAAAGACTGTCTAATGGGATTAGATGCTACAAAAAAAAACTGTTTCAAAATATTCTGTGCAGAGTTTGCTGAATTTCCACCTCAGCACAGCATGTTGCTTAGGTGCCACCTGAACTGGGATCAGTGTTTAAAGTACTTTGAGAATAAAGAATTAATCTACAACATTTTTTTCCTTAACCCATTACTGTGAGGGAAGTATGTGAATGTTCCCAGCCACAAACCCAGCTGCTCCCTTTCAGAAACTTGGCACAGCACAGGGCTCCTGCCTCGTGGAGGCTTACCCCTCGTGGGATAGATCTATATACACAAAGAGTGGAAGGTATATTGAGACTTTAGGAGACTGGGACCAGCTCCAAGGCTGTGTTTGGGGTGGGGGCTTTGGAGGCACACTCTGAGCAGCAGCATGCTCCACTTAATTCTTCATGCCACTAAGACAATGTAGGTCATGACTCTTAAATAAGAATAAACTCGCAGACCGTCATTTTTTTATAAATCATGCAGAAACTGTAAAGCAATAGTTCTGAGCCTCTAAGAGTGGAAGGTATATTGAGACTTTAGGAACCACAATTGCTGTCAGGTCTTTTTTCTTTTTTATTGTTTAAATCACCATGTTTGAAGTGAAAGTCCTTCATCAGAAGATTTTGTTTACTTCTGATATTTGCGCTTACATGGCAAGGGAATGCCTGAGATTTAAGACTCTTGTTTGAGCTTGCTCGGGGGTTCACTGAAAAACTGTTTCCTTTCTGACAGAGAGACTACAGAAGCCCATGAAGTCACAAGAAAGCCAGCTCCTCGTAATTTGCTAGAAAATGAAGAATACGTTAAAGACATTATAGGTTTATTGAATGCAAAAGACTTCCGTGATCGAATAAATGGCATTAGGCAGCTGCTGTCAGATACCGAGAACAATCAAGGCTTTGTCGTTGCAAACCTTGTGAAGGTAACTGTATGAAAACGTTTTATTTCAGTTGTGTCACAACTGTGTCCCTCTTTCAAAAAGAAGTGTGTGTGATGAACACGACTAGGTCAGGTATGCTCGGGGGGAGCTATGTCAGCTACAAAGGTAGTAAAAGAAGGAACTAGGAGGAAGAAGCTCGAAGTTTTCCCTTAGAGGCAGCACTCTTGGAACTGTTTCTGGAACACTGCATGTGTTTTTTCATGCCACTGCTGAGCAAGTATCAAAATATTGGAGCAGGTTGCAAAAAGAGCAGCATGGATTAATCGAGATCTGAGAAACTGTCTGAGACACAGCTGCAAGCTCTGCCTGCTTTGTTTGTCTGGGACAAGGTGAGGAAAGGTCTTTATTGCCATAAAGCTTATGGGGGATGTCCTAACAGGAAAGGAGGTTCTTGAGCAGAGAAATACTCTGCTGAGGTCCAACAGCTGTAAACTAAAGACAGATACAATGAAAGGGAAACCGAGCTTGTCCTTTCACAGTGCAGTGTCTTTGCTGTGGAACTGTGAAATACTTCTCTGGAACTTTGCCATGTCTTAGCTGTAAATGGTTTTGAGATCTTTAAAACATTCTTTTTGCTAAACAGAGCTATGTCTTGCTGAAAATACTCGCTTGCAGAAAGTATCAGTCATACTGAAAGTTACAGATGGCTAGTTTCCCTCTGTTACATTGTGTAGGAATGATTCACATTCAGCTGAGGTGAGATCCAGTTGAACAATACAAATATCAAATGTCGATCTGCCTAGAAAAAAATAATTATCTCAGGTATTTGTGTATCGGAGATTTCTTTTGGTAGGATGGACAACTGAAATGTAACAATAAAGCAGGAAATGTAATATCCACCTTGAACACAAAGGGTTAAGTCAGTTGAATGTTGTTTGGATACTTTTTCAGATCTTTGATGCTTTCAAGTCTCGCTTAAATGATTCAAACAGCAAAGTAAATCAGGTTGCTTTGGAGACAATGCAGAAGATGATTCCGTTGCTGAAAGACAATTTATCACCCGTGATCAACATGTTAATTCCTGCCATGGTGGACAACAACCTCAACTCCAAAAATCCTGGGATTTATGCAGCTGCCACAAACGTTATTCAGGCTCTATGTCAACATTTAGGTAAGTAGTTGACTCTTTCTTAATTTTAAAGAGTTTTGGTGGTATTAATGAAATTCTAGATTTAGTTTCTCTTTAGAGTAACTTTTATACCTTTAAATACATCACTGGTTTTTCAAGTTAATATATCACAAGTAAGGTACTTTATTTACATCTTTCCATACTTTTATTTTCAGACTGTTGAATTTTCTGGTTAAAAATTTTAACATGTTGTGTTCTTTGCATTTAGACAACTATTTGCTCCTCCAGCCGTTCTGCACAAAAGCTCAGTTTCTGAATGGAAAAGCAAAACAAGACATGACAGAAAAGCTCGCTGGTAAGTGATGTTTTGCCTTGAATGTTTGCTTGCTTGCTTGTTTGTGTACCGTCCTCCAGGGGCAAATTCATGGCAGGAAGGGGCAGGCTATGGATCTTCCATTATAATAGGTTGTGGGTATTAACGATGCAGCACTTGTTAAATTTCACTCTCTTTGAATGCAAATTGAAGCTATGGCTGACCAAAAAAAAAAAAGATTGTTATGATATAGTCAGATGGAAGATGTATAAATGCCACAAAGGTGGCAGACTTTGTACCAGTCGCCTGTCTAAACTGGTGTCAAAAGCTTAGAGACAAATGTGCTTCAGAATGGCCGGCAACTTTTAATTAGCATTTCCATACTTAGTTTAACATTGAGGTCTGTTAGGAGCAGAAGCGCTGAATTTTCCTTCGATGTTTTAAGTGAACAAGTGAGGTCTTTGTGAGCCAAACAGACGCTATTTGGCTTATTTCAGAGCAGTTCTGTGTGTGGTAGCTGTGAAATTGAACTCGACAACATAACGGACGGTCTGTTCTTGAAATATTCCGAAGTTTATGCTTCTTGAATGTGTTAGTCATCAACTTTTAAAGAGTTCATCTCTTGCTGGGACTGGCTGGGGGTATTGGTGTTTGTTTTGCGGACAGATGT